TGGAAGAATTGGAAGAACGCTGACTTGCAGAAACCTTAATTTGCATTAATTCAAAATTTAACTTTGATTGGCACCACTAACTGTACTACTTAGCAGAATGTATGTTATTCCTCATCAGGTATTCAACCATCAAGTTTTCTAGACATGAGAAGGGCATGGTATGGAGATAAATATCGTTAGTTGTAGGTTTACAGGAGAGATAGTTGCTGAGGTGCGGAAAAATTAGTTAAATTATTTTTTATTAATATTTACAGCTTTAAACAAGTGCGAAAGTTAGAAATACGACAATTAAGCATACAGTATTTGGAAAATGCCTCCACTTAATTTTTTAAGAATAAAGCAAAAATTATTTTTGAAGTTAGGTTTGGTTGGAAGGAGTGAAATTATCTGCGATTTCTGGCGGCAACCTTCGGATATGTCTAATCGTGATTATACTCTTCACAACTCATATCTACTGGCACATATTTTTTATGAAATGTATATATATGAAAAAATATATATTTGGCAGACGTTTAGAAATAACTATTTATTTATTTTTGCCTTATTTTATTCTTTTATTTTTTTTTTATAGTTGTTTCATAAATGGGCTCTTAGTAATATTACATTATTCCGGACAAAAATTAAGCCGTATAATACTGAAGTGACAAAAAACCAAAAACATTAATGATGTTATCATAGCTAATATGAACTTAAAATTTCTGATACTAGGATTGTAAAAATAATTGTGCTAAACAAATTATTCACGGAGGTCATATTGTATTAGACGCAATGATAACAATGAATACTCTTCATTGCTTTACAGGTACGAAAAATGGGTTTGGCTTTCCATTAAAGTATTATGCAATGCGTAATTACGCATTGCATAATTGAAAAGAAATGGGCCCGCGACCTTGCGTAGAACAAAGAAATAGAACCAATATTGATGGTTTGACATATGGTTTATTTCTCGTTTTCAAATACAAACATCGGGTAGGGTTTATATTTGACAACATTACGTGTGGCTTTGGTTATTAACCTTTTTTAGCTTGAGTGCAAATATGGAAATTTATTTTATAGACGCTGCCTGGAAATAAACATCAACCAACAGACCAAATTCGAAACACGCTCAGCGACCATGGCCTCATTTTATATTTTTTGACATAATATACATAAAACAATTATGTTTAAAATAAAATTGCCTAGTGTTCTAATTAATTAAATTCACCGATAAAAAAGTTATATTTAATTTATTTATTTAAGTATTGAAGATAGAAGTAGGATAATTTAAATATATAAAACAAAAACGATGTCTAGACGTTATACTGATAATTAAAAATGTAATGAACGAGCTATAAAATCTCAGGAGATGTTTCAAAGGACCTGCTGTAGAAACGTTTTAAAACAGGTCTGATATATTTTAAATGTTTCGACTGGTTCAGGTTATGTGGAGAGAGTTGCTTCATGAATATTGACGTATATTCCTTCATATTATGTAAAAAAAAATGAATGACATTTGAAACTAAAACATTATTTATTTTTACCGGTTTTTAAAAAATACAAATTCAAATAGTTGCTCGAACTACGTCCTATATACGTGTTTCTTGTAAATGTACGAGTATTTATCAAGGATCGTTGAAATATGAGATATATCAGTAACCCGATTATTTTTTTTTTTCAAATAATTTTAACAGAAATACCTAAATATATCTGTATTAGGTACGTTTTGAAGCTAGTAAATTAACTAAAGTGTTAAACTCAACATATATGTATACATTTTATTATACATACATTGCATACATTTTATAAATTTAAATAAATGTGGAACAATGAAAAACCCATAACTGTGACATCATAATCAATATAACTATTTTATTTGGGATCAGTCAAGATTAATTATAATCATATAAACAAACTAATAATTCTATTTTTTATTTCATTCGCCTACGTTTGGACTATACCATGTCCTCCATCTTTAGGGCTTGATTAAGCTAAAGATTCGAGTAAACCATTCTTATAATTCAGTTCGACTGAGCTCAAATGATCAATCATGATTAGAAGTATAACGTAGGAGTTATAAAATAAATAAATGGAAAAAGTAAATCAGACGTAGAAACTAAAAAGTGTCAATATTAAAGTTTTCATTACAAATATTGTTGTGGAGGTTTATTTTGTAAAAATAAAAGTTATAACGCTTGTCAATTTTAAAATATTTTTTATAAATTAATATCTTGGATGAATATTTGAATTATAGCATTAAAAAAAGTTTCATTAAAGTAAATAAGACGAAGAAACTAAAAAATGTAAATATTAAAATTCTCATTACAAATGTTGCTATAGAGGTTTATTTTGTAAAGCAAATTCATAGCTCTTGCTAATTTTAAAATATTTTTTATAAATTAATATCTTGGATGATTATTTGAATTATTGCATTAAAAAAAGTTTCATTTCAGTAAATAAGACGTAGAAACTAAAAAGTGTAAATATTAAAATTCTCATTACAAATGTTGCTATGGAGGTTTATTTTGTAAAACAAAGTCATAACTTGTAAATTTTAAAATATTTTTTATAAATTAATATCTTGGATGATTATATTATTTGAATTATTGCATTTAAAAAAGTTTCATTTCAGTCATCAAATCAGACGCCGTCGTCAAACCTCATATTAGCAAATAATGAAATCTAGTATCTGATAATTAGTCAAGTTTTCTGGTGATAACGTGTTAACAGAGATCAGTCGAGAAACTAAAAAAAAACATTACTATATTTTATGTCACGTGGGATTAATGAAAAATGGCACAAAATTTTGGTTTTTAAATTGAGTTCTAAAATATTTTTTGTCCCATGTATTAATCAGCCGATTTGCAGATACGAGATATCACTTCAAAGCTATCAATGCAGCAGTTACCTCTGTCGCAGTTCAGTTCATGCCTAGTTTCGATACCTGGTACCTCATTGTCACCGAATTATAGGTGAGACCTTATATAACCGGTTGCGGTCAGTAGAAAGCCGGTCAGGGAACTTATCTAACGAAATAACACAAATTACCCCATTTATATAGTTTTTAATGTCCGATTATTAAATGCCTAATATTAAACAAAATTCTGAGAAATTAATTTGTAGGACCAATCAATGAAATGGATGAACTTTGCTTTCATTAATTAAGATCTGAATTGCTTCTAGTTTGAAAACGCTACTAACTATTATACAATGGTTTATTATTTCCAAACAATTATACATCTAAAGTAACATTACTTTCCTTGTCCTATAATGGAAAATAAATAAAAGGTGATTCTTAATATAGGCCTAAGTAATTTTTTTTTCATCATTAGTAACTTGCAAAGAAAAATAGGTAAAATTATCATTAAGTAATAGTTGGGAGTAAGCTCGTATAACAGAATTTTTAATTATAATCTAAAAATTTTCCATTATACCAAAACTTGTAAAAATATATAATGACTGAAATATGTATCCCAAAAATTAGCAACAGTTCACTTCGACTATAACTTTAAAATATTATAATATATATTGTTAATGCTATGCGATTGTCGGACACAGTGAGGACAAAATCCTAATTACCAGTGAAAGTTCTGTTAGGTTTTATTTTTATATTTCTTAGGATTTAAAATCCGAATTAAATAATCAAGTAATTTTAATAAAAATCTATGACTGAAAACCTCTACAACGGTAGAATATTGTTAGTAAAAAAAAATGAAAATTAAATTGATTTAGTAACACTGCTTTAAAAATAAACTGTTTAACAAAGAGTGGAATATGAACGAAAAAACAAGTCATCTTCGTATGTACTAATTGAATGACCACTTTCATCTTTAAGTGAAATATTTCCAGTAATTTTAGAGGAAAGTATTTTATAATTTTGATTACAATTTTAGGATGAAATTATCTTCGAATCAAACTGGAAGTTTGTTAAGTATATGCTTGTTAAATCGCAAAGATTTCTTTGAATAGCTCCTTCTAAAAATCTTAACATATTTATTTTGAGCTTTGTGAAAATGTGAGCATTATCATTCAATCTTAGAACGAAAAAAACTTGATATACATTTTTTTCTAATTTTGCAATAAAGTACATTGGAACACGTAAGAATCTATGGAAAGATTTGTTTTTGTTACAAAAAATATCTGAAAAGTAATCATTTTTCATTACACTTCACTTGTGATACGGTACAGAATAATGTAATTAATAGGACGCCATTGACATCAATGGTATTTTATGAAACTGATAGTCGGTTAAAGATTCACAGCAACTCCAAAACATTTTAATTTAGAGTATGAAATAACATTTTATTTATTTGTAAATTTTATGAACAACAATTTTTTTTCTATCTATGATTTATTATTTTCATGTACTTTCTTCAAACACTTTATTTAATTCGAATAATTTAATAAATGTTTACTTTATTTAATGCAAATTAAACTTTTTAAGTTTCTTTTTGTATGTTTTGAATAGGTTGGATTGGATAATTGCATGTTCTGAAATAATACAAACATTTATGTTAACCATTCAAACATAAAATACTTTTTTATCTTATTGAAAAAAAGTATTTTATGAATTTGACTCAACGAGCTTTGTTTCTCATAGAAAGTTGTTTGATTGATAAAAAACATTTCTAATAACTAACAAAGGCACAAAATCAGGTTGATATTAATTAATCATTTATTAAAAAAATAATTAAAAGATATTATAATCTTTAAAAGATATTAAAAAAAAAAAAAAATTAATTTTTTTGTAAGACCGACACTTGAATTATAGAATAGTCTCTATTCCTATTCGCTCCTGTTTGAATCATTTTATTGATTTCAGCATCGCTCATAGAGTAGTTATAGGGATGGAAGTTTTCTATGTTTAATTTTATTGCTATTATTTTTAGTTCTTTATTGGATTAAGTTGATTTTAAAAAAAGTGTAAGAAGATATTTATTTATGTTTTATTTGATTTTTTATCGAATTCTCCAAGTTTGAGTTGATGATGAGTTTTATGATTTCATGCTCTTATTTTATTTCAGCAGAAGCGGTCGCCTCTCCCGATTTCGGTGGCAGTGATAGGAGGACCTCCACCAAAGAAGAACGAGCAAGACCTCTCCAAGATCCCTGGAACTCCTGGAGTTGACTATCCACTCTTCAGGTCTGTTCCTCCAACATCCTTTTCATGCGCTCATGTACCCTTCGCACCTGGCATGTACGCCAATGTGGAGACTGGGTGTCAGGTATGTCACAAGTTAATTTAGATTTATCATATTTAGTATTATTTATAAACAACAAGACAACAAAAATATCTTAATTTAGTATTAATAAAATTTGATAAATCATATAACATAAATTATATCATATTTATTAATATATAACTTCATTCTTAATTAGTATTGCCTAAAATCGCTCTTGGTCTTGCAAAGTGCAAAGTGCAAGACCAATACCGCCTAACTGTTGCAAGACCAAGAACAAGACTGGAAAAAAAAATCGTTTTTGTGAATAAAAATTAATGTAGTTACTAATACTTGACAATTTTAGTTATTATATGTAAAGAATTGGTATAACCAATATACTTTGCCATTTAACTCTTCCAATTTTTCATTCAGGCTTGGTTAGGTTTCTCCTATCTGAAAAATTACTGTAATATTTCTATAGTAATAGGGTATAGGTAACTGCAATACTGTTGTGAGACTCTTGCGCAAGACCAAGACCAAAACCAAGACTGAGAGCGCAAGACCAAGAGGGCTTGGTCTCGCGTTTGGGCAACACTATTCTTAACCAATTAAGTTCATAAATTCAGAAAAAAAAATACAATATGTCGTAATAATAACCATAAAGAATAATTAAAAGAAAGTTATTAATAAGTGTAACGATTATTATTTGTTATATAGCTAGAAGTATTATTGATTAATAATTAATAGGAATTATTAGAAAAAAGAACATTACTTCACTTGAAGATTAAATAAAAAAGAAGTTGTAAATTCATCAGTATTTATTGATTTTTTTTGTTTACTTTTCTACTGCTAGTAAAGTATTGAAATAGGGTCAAATTTCCGATTTAAGGCTTTCAACAGATATTTCTTTAAGAATCTCCTAAATATAAAAATGTATTTTCGGCTATTTTTCGGTTTGTATGTCTGTACCACGATTACTTCTAGAACGAATGGACGGATGTTTTGTAGCTATTTTTTGTTTTTTAATATTTCAGTCGCAGACGCTTATACACTCTGTGCGCAATAGGGACTGCGCAATAAGCGAGTAAGGTATTTTTCTGTAGAATGCAGCCCTAAAATGACTAACGATTTTGATGAAAGTTTCCAACAGCCTTCGCATTAAAGTCTTTTTAATTTTCATCTGTTTATTACATCCAAAGAAAAACAGAAAAAAAAGATATGGCAAAAATAAAATTTTGTTACGGTGCTACTTAAAAAGTATCGTATATAATGTGTAAATTGTATACAATTATTTTAAAGCTGGCAAAATTTAACAAAGGAAAAAAAATCGACAAGCGAAACAAGTGTTTTTTAATCGCCAAAACGGATTTTGATGGAAGTTGCTCATAGTAATTACCTTAATGCCATTTTTAATTTTCATATATGTAATATATGCTCGAGAAAAACAAAACAAACAGGAAATTATAAAGAAAAAAAATGTTGTTATGGCAAAACTCTAAAGTCGGGCGAGTTAACACACCATAAATACCATATATATTTTTTAAACGGCTGTTCGGCCCTGTTTGGGCACCTTGATCTGATCGTGTCGAGTGAGAGGGCCAATTCTTCCATTGATAAAAGTTGTCCTCGATTTGGTTTCAAAACTGTGTTGCGCAAGGGAAAGGTATAACCGGCAGGAATTATTTGCAATGTATCAGGTGTCAGCTTACCTGAAAAAAAAAACCTAAAAACAAAACTGGCGCTTGTTTACATTTTATCACAAATAATTTTTATTTGATTGCTCTTCGATTGATTAAAACATCAACCTAAAATTTCTATAACACCCCCATTACAAATATTAATAGTGAATATTCCTCAGGCCTACCACGTCTGCCATGACGGTAGGGAGGGTGAACAAGGAGCCTCTTTCCTCTGCTCAAACGGCACACTCTTCAACCAGAAAGAATTCGCCTGCGATTGGTGGTACAACGTCAACTGTGATGAAGCTCCCAACTACTACGAGTAAGTATCAATTTTATTTTTATTTTTTTGTAAATTATTTTTTATAAGGAAGGATACATATAGTTCTTTTTTATGAATGTTTCTTTTTCGTTCCGCTATATTTATTTTATTTTTTCTTAAATATGCTAACGTAATCAACGTTTCAGAGCTTTGCCGTATCATCAGAAATAAATGAAAACCTTCTCAATATATAGAATCAAAACAGAACAGAATAAGGTGCAATGTTATAACTATACGAAAAGGACATAGGAGGAGCTTTAATGGTAAATTAGCAGATCTACTGCAATGTGATATGGAAGTTAGTAAAGTGAATTCCTGATGATGGGACAAAATCCCCAAACGTTGATGTTATCTAATTAATGGAAAAATAAAATAAATACATCAGGAGGAAAACGAAACATTCATAACCTAAAAATAATTAACTTTAAATTTTTTTAAATTGCGAAACCACATTACCCAAAACGAAGTGATTCGTATTACACAACAACTCAAAATCAGGTCACTCACTGAGTGATTTGGATACCTAAGCTTATAACGTATTAACATTAGATGTTAACGGAGAAAACTAAAACGCAAACATTTCTAAATCCCATGTGAGCAGATAAAATTGTAAAAAAATTAATTACTGAGATAAATATACAGCTCAGTCTATTTCTAATAGAACTTTCATATAAAGATTAAAGTTGCCACATATTGTGGTATATTAGAGAAGGATGAATGGGAATATTTTTATTTCTTACATTATTATTTTTGAGTCTTCTGAAATTATTTGCAGTTGTATCACGTTTTTTAATAAGTTTATTGTCATGTTTAACTAGCCATAAATCGTCCATTAGAAATTTTGTAAATGTAAAAATTTCGGCAGTGAGTAATTAATTACCAATGAAACTTTTTAATTAAAAAAAAGATCATATTAGGATGTTAAAGTCACAGAGGAATATGTTGAATAATATTCATTTTGCAAAAAATAATTTGAAATCCACGTCATGTTTTTCCCTTAAACTTCCGATATTACTTACAAAATATTCACTAATATATAAATATATTTTGAAAGATTATATCGTAATCCTCTAATTTATGTATATAGCAGTAAATATTTTATAAATAATAAATGGTGAGTTTGTTAAAATCGAATGGTTAGTTCCAACTTAGGGCCAGTTGATCCAACTCAGTAAAGCTTGTATTAATCGTAATCTAAGATTAAACCAAGTTTAATCTTGAACGGTCGACCTTAGAAAACTTGGATTAATCTTAGATAACGCTTAATCTAAGCTTTACTGAATTGGAGCAACTGGCCCTAAAAGATCAAACCTCGAGCTGCCAACTAATGGTTGTCGAATCGTAGATTCATTTGATAACCAATGTTATGGGAAGAACCAATTTGATATTGATGCGAGGTTTGAGTAAAAGTAATTGTATAGTAAAATTAAGGATCATTCTATCCTTAAAAAATCAATGTATCCACATTAAAAAAATATTATGGGAACACATATAGATTTTTTTTTAAATTTCAAAACCTCTTTATTGTTCTTTGTGAATTTGTATCATATCCTCATTACCTCAAATAGGTAAATAAAATTTCGATTGAAAACTTTGATTTGTACGATTTATTTCTTGAGAAGATAAAATTTAGGTTTTGAAATAAACTGAATAATTTTTAGGGGTTTAGTTTTAATTTGTCCAATATATATATATATATATATAAATATATTGGATGGAGTCCATTTGTCCTTATTATTTTAAGGTATCTTATGTTTCAATGTACAAGTCAGTAAATATAATTTTAGAGGTTGATAAAAAATTGATGAGCAGCCAATAGGTGAGTTATTAAAGTGGTGACATAGTTCTCTTTGTATTTTAACAATGATGCCTATCTAGATTATATTTCTGGATTAAGTAAGTATTGTTGATTTATAATATTCTTATTTTAACACTCTCATATTCAGTAACAATAAAAAAAAATATAAAAAAAAGCAATCTTTAACATAACGTAAACAGGTTGCGCCTACATGCTAGGCAACTTATCGAACCCACAGAACAGGCCGGCCTTGCATGTACAGTTAATAGGTGTGACTGCTCGATCTATTCAAAGGGGAAAGTTATTCGTAACATCCATCACATCTTAGATAATCCATTTGAAGTCCATCATCACAAATAACTTGCGTTGATGTTTTTGTAAACTTACTTAGTCAAGGATGAGGGATTGTCAAGCTGGATTCCATCGGAGCCTAGGAGTGCCTCAGGCGTATAGCAAGCAAGGATGCCGCGACAATAACATTTAATTTCAATATTTAAAGCCAAAATTGTAAATTTGATGATTAGAGCTCCTGAAAATGCACAAAAATAAATTGATTAATAATAGAATAAAACTCTATCTTCTCTACGACAACTAGAACTACCATCTCGGACGATCGAAAGAATGCAAGAAGCGATGTTGGGAACAGCAAATATAGTCAGGAAGTTCACAAATATTAAATAATTATGAAAATATATAAATGTAATTTTTGGCTGACCTAATAGGTCCTCAACTATTACATATTATAAACACCATTGTATTTGTGGAAAATAAAGAAAGAATAAATACAAAATCGATCACAAGATTAAATCATTTCAAAATTTTATATGATTTATATAAAAATAACTTATTTTCTAAGTGAACCCTATTATATTTTTTTGGAAGTTGAGAGAAGTTTCGTTTCCCGCGTAAAAAAAAACAAACAATTCGAGTTCGATGGTACATTCAATTTTTAAAAAGGACGTAAATATTTTTTAAAAATTTGGTGTGAAAATATCAAAATTAAGAATAAATTTATTTTTTCGACTTTATCACCTATTTTTTTATTATTTTACTTTTTTTTTTCTTTCAAATATGGGCCTTGAAGTAAAATTCTTTCCATAAGCGGCCCTATTTAAGTTTACGTGTTTTTAAAACACGGAAACCTAGTTTTTTAAAAAATCAGTGATTTTCGAAAATATGTGCTAGAAATAATTAAAAAAAAAAAAATGTTAGTTTTGATATTGCATTGGAATAGAAAATATCGTTTATCGCGTTTTCAGAAAATTTGTCAGTTATGATTTGGGTTCAATTTGGAAATAAATGACTTGTACATTGCTCCAAAAATAGGTAACGATTTTATTCTCGATTCTAATGACTGCTTTAAGGATAACTTCGCTAAGATTTTTTATAAGGATAAGAGTTCCGCAGAAAAAAAGTTATAAAACCGTGGTGTAGATAAATCTTAGTTTTTTTTTTTTCAATTAATAATCTTATTCAGAATGTAACTACTAAAAATAAGTCAAATTTTAAAAAATGAAACAAATCCATTTTTATGTGGCTTATTTTTCTGAAGGAAATTCACATTTTTTAATGATATAGCTTTTTTAAATTTTATCTTCCATTCTTGGCACGCTCCGATATTCTCATCGGTCTAAATTGATATTATTATTATTTATTTATTTTTATTGAGAAATATTACAATCTGTCTCAGTTAAGGACACTAATGATAGAGTTCAGAGAATACATTCACACCATATATACAAAAACATAAATAAATAGAGTAATAAAAAAAAGAATATATAGAAATAAGAACAAAAAAAATTTTATAAGAAGAGTAAATATATATATATATATTTACATAAGTCAATATAGAAATAAAAGTAATATGAGTATCTTAGATAGAGCATACCTATTAGTATTATTAAATAAATAAAGTAAAATAAAAAAGATTTACTTATAACATAATACTAAAAGTATAATAAACAACAAATATTTAATTTTTAATTATTTGTATTAATATTTAATGTCATTAAATATAATTAATGTTTAATTATATTTAATAAAATATTAAAACAATTATTAGGCATCCATTTTTATTTTATGATGTTCAAGGCGATGTCTTATTCCGCACTTTACTTAAAGTTAAATTATCTAAAATGCTGCAGTTTATACAGATTATTAATAAGTTAATAAATATATTAACGTAATATTCTATTTTAGACTGAACTTGTACGCTGAGAAGAACCCCTACTACCCCAAGAAGAAACCTGAAGAGGCACCACAGCATGGAGCCTACCCCGAGTACGAGGCCGCCTACTAATCAACTTCGATGAAACATTCGATTCTATAAAACGAAGAAAGTTTGATGAAAAGGAAAGAAACTATTGTTTTTTCAAAGACGGATGGAACAAATTTTATTTTTAATTTCTTTTTTAATGAAATTCCTTTAATTGTTTTGATATGTTGCCATTTAATTGCCATCAATGAACACGAGATCATATTGATCGTTCATTGTTAGATCATCAAATTTTACAAAAACGTATCGTTAGTATTATGTACGAGTTCACACTTATGTCAGTTATAGTAAGAAATTTTATATATGAAACATCCAACTGAGTGATAATTCCTAAACCATCATTATTCATGTAATTTTCTGGATTATCATGTTACTTGATTTTTGTTACGATTCTGTTGTTATCAGGAGATTTAAAACTGTTATTTAAAAAATATCAAATAAATTCTGTTGAATTATGTGTTACCATTTTGTTAGTCAATTTATTTTATCCTCTGAAGAATTCATTATTTATTTATTTGGGTTTTATACAACTTAAGGAGTCATATCCCCAACACCCAAAAGCCACTGCTCCCTGTCCATCCAATCTCCTTCACGAAGCCCTCTGGCTGCCATGCTTTCCTCCACGTCCTCTATCCATTTCTTCTTTGGCCTTCCACGCTTCCTTCTTTCAGGTGGCATATAGTTATAAATTTTCTTTGGCCAGCGGTTCTCATCCATCCGCATTAAGTGGCCATACCACTTTAACCGTTTGGTCCCGATCAGGTGAAGGATGTTCTTTTGACATCCGACCTTGTCTCTAATTGCTGCGTTTGGGATCCGCTCGATTCTGGATATGCCACAGCTTCTTCTCCAGAAATCCATTTCCATGGAAAGCAACTTATTTTCCATCTTTTTTGTCAGTGTCCAGATTTCTGATCCGTAAGTGGCTACGCTTTCTACAAAGGAATGGTATATCTTTTTTTTAGTTTCTAATCCTATTTCTTTCCTCCATAGGGTAGAATTTATCGAACTTATTATTCTTTTCCCATTATTTATTTTATGTTCGATATCAACCTCACTACCACCCTTTGAAGATAACCAGTATCCGAGGTACTTGAACTGCTGGCTGACATTTAGCGTCCAGTCATCAATTTCAAGGGGCAAATTTGGAGCGTTGAAAACCATATACTCTGTTTTACTTTCACTGATTTTCATAGCCCATCTGGAATACGTGTCTAGCAACTTCCTCATCATATAGCTAACATCATCCGGATCCGATGCGATTATGACTTGATCATCGGCATACTGCAAATTGTAGATGACATCATTGCCGATTTGAACACCCATTCCACAGCACGATCTTTTCCAGTTTTTAAGGGCTTGTTCTATATAAATGTTGAAAATCAGGGGTGAAAGGTAGCAGCCCTGTTTCAATCCTTTGTTAATGAAGAAGCTTCAAGACACTCTATCTCCAATTTTTATAGCCCCCGTTATATTTTTATAGAGCTCTTGAATTGCTCTGATGAGGTATCTCTTAATAGATGTGGCTTCCAAAGCTTTCCACAATTTCGCTAGAGGTACTGAATCATAGGCCTTGTGTAAATCTACAAATATCATATGGAGTTCATGGTCGTGGGCCATCCTCTTTCTATAAGTTGTGAGAGACTAAAAATGTGATCAGTGCATGATCTTCCAGCTCGAAAACCCGCCTGTTCCTCGCTGATCTCTTCCTTTAAATCATTTTCAATTCTGCTTTTAATTATCCGGCCGTATAATCTACTCAGCGAGCTGGTAACAGTAATACCTCTGTAGTTGGAAACGTCTTTCTTTTGGCCTTTTTTGAAAACTGGAGTGATATAACCCTGTTTCCATTCTTCAGGAATCTCTCCACCATTTAACAGAAGTGTCATACTTTCTGCCAGTGCCATTTTGAGTTCGGTCGGGCCTGCTTTAATTAATTCAATTGGAATAGAACCAGGCCCGGGAGATTTTCTATTTTTCATTCCTTTGAGGACTGAATCCAGTTCTATGATTGTGACTGGCGGTATATCTTCCTTATTTAACATTATTTCATCGGATTGGTTCCATGCGAATTCGGGTCGCTCCTCATGAAATAATTCTTCAAAGTAATTCACCCATTGCTGCTCCTTGATCAATGGGAAGTTATCTCCACATCTTTTGGGATTTTTCAATTTTTTTCAATTTTTTTTTGAAGAATTCATGCTTCTGACAATTTGGACACATTATAAGTACCTCTTTTCTTTTTAATATTTAGCTTTTATATATGAAGATTATCTGAATATACACATTTATCCGTAAACAAATTATCCCATTCCTTTGTTATTTACAGAGTTAGAATCGCTAGAGGAATACACTGGAAGGTTATAAACACAGCATAAAACTAATTTTGGGTACTTGATTTCGATCTCACAAATTTCATTCTGGCGTTCTATTTGCAAATTTAAAGGCGGTTGAGTTAATTATCTATCATCGTAAAAATTTCAGTATAAATAAACTTGTCAGCAGTATTTTTAACAAATACCGTTAGTATCTACAATGATTTTATATACGCGTGTATAATTTTAGTAAATATTTTTTTCAAAAGATACTTTCCTTTTGTTTATTGTTTCAGTATTTCATCTGTAAAAGAAATCTCAGTAATAAAAACAACAAGTGTTCTTAACATTCTGAAATGGCCACTCTCACATTACTCGTATATCTACCCTCTCAAAAATACGTTCGAAGCATAAGGTACTATTTGTAAAAAAGTAACAAAAATAAATAAATGAATCGTCCTTATAATTTTTAAAATTAAAATGGTCAATTAAACATTCATCAAACATAACGCATCCAGCATTAAGATACTCTGCTGTTATATATTTAATTTTAATATCTAATAATAGTTAATTAGTTACAAATCTGTAACGAGTGTCTTTTTTTTAAGACTAAGCAAAACATTTTTATTGATGGTGCTACTCATTTAAAGCTAATGAAAAGCATACAAAGTTTGCTTTATTAAGAACAATTTTTTTTTTATGACAACGTTTGAACAAGTTTGGAGCGTCCTAGAAAGCCACCCTGTATATAAAGGTTGTTCCGTAAATAATGGGAAATATTTAAAGAGCTGTTAGTAGAACTCATGAGCTAAAAAAAGTACAAAAAAATCCTCGTCCGATTTCCCGAAACAAAATAAAAATTTTAAGTTTTAGGTTTTTTTTTTTTGTTTAAGTGTCACGTTTGTTGTTGAATATGAAGCGAAAATTAAACAAATATTTAATTTAGATAATTAACAAATACTTCACGGGAAACAAGACAAAATTTTCCTCATGTTAACATTATTCAAAGGAGACTTATAAGAGGCTTGAACTAAACGGTTCAGTTCTTAAAATCATTGATATTTCGCGGAATATTTTTATCATCCTCCAACGAGACTACAGACACCCCACTTTTAGAAAAAATTGCTTGAATTATGTCCCTGAAAACGTATATATATATATATATATATATATATATATATATATATATATATATATATATATATATATATATATATATATGAATAGTAAAGTATGGGTTTAGGTAAACTTAGTTAGCGCTTTATTAAGACTGATCAATTTCTGTAATAGAGATCCGGGAAAAAAGCACAGATTCATTGTCACATGAGAGGGCAAATATTGCAAAAATCATTATTTTTAATATTTTATTTTTCAATAAATAAACATATTCATGCAATTATGTTTAGTATGATACATTCCAGGTCATAGAAAAAAAGAAATTTATGACAAACTATACTTTCATTTCATGTAAATTTTGTCAAGTTTACTTAACTTTTTGTTAAAGTTACGTACTTATGTCAAGCAATTGTTAAATAAAAAAACAAAAATATATATATTTTTGGTAATCACTTCATCTTCAATAAAAAACGCGACTTACTTAAAAAAACTCAAAACTGAAATTTCCTACTTTTATGCTGAAAATCGGACCATGGTTTATTTAAGCTTTTGTTTAGCTCTTAAAGTCTATTATCGCCACCTTAAATATTTCCCTTTACTTAGGGGACACTATTTTAAGGATATATCTAATAATTTAATTTATGTATTTAAAAATTGTAAGCATAAATGGATGTTTAAAGATTAATGTTTTCTATTGATTAAAAAAACATTAGCTGATTACAATAAGCTGTTTGAATCTGAGAAAAAACTAAACGTACCAACATGACTTTCCTAAACAATGAACCACGGTTATAACATTTTCTTATCCTCGTAGAAGTTCTTGTCCACGATATTGCGTGGGAGCTAGGTCGTTAGCTAGCCGGACTGAGAAACGGGCTGTATTGCGCAAGGATATCTATTGCGCGCAGGTGCTAGCCATCAATAGACATCCTAGACTTCCATCTATGCATTAATGGCATCAAAGAGAACAGTGGAGGAGCAGTTGCGCCACTCATTACTGCATGGGAACCCAGCGGCCAATGATAAATCTTCCTCAGAGTCATTGTCTCAAATTAAGAAGTGACGACTTATTTCCGGACTCAATGCCGTGGGAATACGGTTGCAACCAGTGCAGCAGGTTATTATCGAGGTATACCCCCTCTCGTGTCCATTTGTCAACCTTCGCTGACCGGTGGTCGTTTTAATGCGACAACTAATTCATTCATCATCGCTTCTTCCTACCTTTGTATGAAGATTTATGCCGGATGAATGGTTCCCGCTCGGATCAGCTTTGAGAAATGGAGTTGTTAGCACGATTATATACGATCTTTCCCCTCTATCCCTATTCTCCAAGGACTCTCTTTGTGTTTATTTAATAGAGAGAAAAATAGTTGGAGTCAGTATTCCCTGTCAACAGTAGAATAATGATTTCTTAACAGGGGGAGATATTAGTATTGTAACACCTTATAGATAAAAGCTGTCATTTCTTTGTATTCCTTGTATCGCCCTATTTACAGATTTATTGTGTGCATGGTATTTAAAATTTATTTAATCTGAAGAATCTTATTTAATCTCATTGAATTTAAGATACATTATTTTCGAATGTATAAGAATTTTAATATAGGTAAGGAAATAGATAATCTAATTCAATCATAAATATTATTATGAGCCCCGATCGATAGGTATATTCAGATCAAACGAAATACAGTTTTCATCTGTAAATATACTTTACCACCATCAATTTTGTCATATATTTTTTGCAGAGAAGAACCACAGAAAATCTTGTTCATTATCTTGATAGTCTACCGGGTGGAGTTTCTAATTTGGTTGCAAATTTAATTTAATTAATTAATTGAAGCTTTTAGTATTGAAAACTCAATGTTTGTTATAATGGTTCTTGGAGTAAGTTAGTTAGTGATGGAAATTTTTATTATTCTATATTTAATTATTTATTTAGAAATATAATAATCTGTCACGTGGACAATAATTATAGTGATATATGAACACATTCACACCATACATACAGAAAATATAAAATTTACAAAATTAAAATAA